AATTATAACTCGATCTCGTCGAGCAAATTCATATCCCAAAGTTCCCGTTTCCACCCTCAATTAACATTTGAGTTTTGTCACACAGGCGGTTCCGATATTCACTGCCAGTACTGAAAATCTATAATATACGTGACCTGAACCATATATTTTCAGTACTGGCAGTGAATATTGGAACGCAATCACAGATTGAATTATTCAGGTTTCGCTGCTTGACACAAGAATGTTGGTTTTTAAATGATGGCTAAGTATGATCGTTGTTTGCGGTATTTACTTCTACTTAAACGAGACGTTGATGGAAATTAATTAGACCATGAAAATGTCGGTGATGTTTAAAATTCATGTCATTATTGACCTTAGAGAGGAATAATATTTATAGTGATTAATGTTGCCACAAACTTCCATTCGTATAAGAAGATATAGCAACAGGTACATGCTCGGGCATAATAAAAAGTCTAATCATATGGATAAATTGGTGTTAATTCTTACGGCTTCTATTACAATCTCTTCCATATATCATTGCTGTAAAATGTTATAATTAACATGCTTTATAGACATATCAACATATATAATAAATATTCCAGCTATCTGTTATGCAAAATTGGAACTCTATTACTGAAGAAATATCAGTCATCAGTTCTACATCTTACTTAAATAATTCAATTATTCTAGAGATTTGCTCTTTTCATAATACAGAAATTGGCTTCATAAATAATAAATAACAATCATATTGAGCATTTATATAAAAATTCATATAAAATCACAAAATCCAAAAATAATTTTGAATAGAATATTTATTAAAACTATCATGTAAAAAATGTCTCGTTATACCAAGTTTTTACATTATTAATTTTCATTCATACATAGGCCGCTCATAAAACAATATATTATTGTATAATTGTATAAATTATGCAAAACACATTACAAATATTTTGTTTTTCATAATAATCTGCCATTGAAAGTGTTATATTCGCTTTAATTTATGCTTAGTAATGGCAAAATTAACAGTAATAACAATACTTTGTAACTTTTATAAAAAAAAATACATTTCAAAATCATATTCTCTTTTTTTAATACAATACAGATCATGTTAATTATCGCAACAACTATTTTTTAGTTCCTTACATACGAGATTATTCGAATTGATTCGAATATTTGTATCAAGATTGGATGCATTCAACGTAACAAAGCTATTAATGAACAATGTCAATGATTATTAGTCTTTATTATTACATCCCTAAATTTAGTCCATTTACGTTGACGAATTACTTCAATCATTGTGTAACCATTGTATTCGCTGAACGCAGCCATTAACACTAGAAGCACCAAACGGTCATTTTTGACCATTTTTTTCTGGTATGTAAAATAAAATTTCAAAATTTTCTGATTTTAATGTTCCATTGGGATAAAGAGAGTAATTGATGAGAAATTAGAAAATTTGAAAATTGTATTTTAATATGTAAAAAAGATGTTAATTTGATAATAGAAATTGAAAATATAAATGATTAGAAATAGCCGCTCGGTATTTTTAGTGTTAAGAGAACAAACAACATCAAATTATTGTTTGAGATTAATCATTACGATCTCTTAATGGTGTCAATGTTTTATGAGGTGAAGAAATAGGGGTTGAATGTACCATTCCTACATTTTCCTTGCCTTTCCAATGAGATCGCTTCTCCTCTGCTTTTAACTTTTCTATGATTTTTTGTTGTTGTTCCACTAATCTGGTCTTGGTTCGTAATTCCTAAAAAAAATTAGTTTCAATAAGAGATATAAAAGAAGATATATAAAAATATAAGTAATAATACTTATTATATCTATATAACAAAGTTGATTGTGAGCTCTATTGGATAAATAAAAACGCAATTTAAATTTGCTTATAGAGAAAAATATTTATTTTTAAAAAATCCATTCTATAAAACATAACTAGGAAAATAATATACAGTGGCTTCTCCTTTTTGTGAAGTTATTGAGACAAGAAATATTTTTATTATATGTTTTCCAATATGTTTTCTCAATCCTTACTTTTAGTCTAATGCGCGAAAATAAAAACTTATTCTCGTACTGTTATTCAATTTACTACTATTTTGATATAATTACATAATATAAGTAATATAAATAATAAAAGAGAAGAATATCACGGTATGAAGTTAGAATTCATAAAATGCGCGATTAAAATTACAAAACTTCACAAAACAGAGTCACAACTATATTATTTACATAAAAATTAGAATGTACATGAACCAGAATTTTTTGCCACAACTGTATAACATGGAGTATTCGCATATTATTTAACAGATATATGAGTGCCCAAATTATGAAATTATGTACAGATTTTTTCGTATATATTTTTTACGATATCGTGGCGGCAATTCTATAAAAAACGTCTGCCAGTATGATATAAAAAAAAGCAAAACACAAATGAAAAGATAAAAAAAATTATAAAAAGCGGAACGATGCCACGCACCTGTTCCAGCTCGCAGTTCTTGTCTTTTAGCCGAACAACATGCTTAATCCTTTGTTTAGGATTTTGATGGCCAATTATATCAGCACATCTTTCAGCAAATTCTTCATAATCCTTCTTGAGATCATCACTTAATGTTATATATTTCTTAACCTCCCTGTATAAAATAAAATATTTTTCAAATTTGGAAAAAAGATCTTTGTTTTATGTTAAACTCACTCTTCTGCTGTTTCTCGTCGTATTCTTTCCTCATTAAGCTGTTGTACAAGCGCATTTTCCGAAGATTCCCACCTGATTCGTTCTTTCTTTAATAATAAAGTGGTTTCCTGTAATAAGACATTTTTATTCTTCGACAATTATATATCTATGTTTATTTACAAAATTCAATTTCAATTTAATAATATATTCTAGTCATTAAAAAAAATATTACCTTTGCAGTTGCTTCCGTCTTTTCTAATTGCTTAATTTTTTCGGAAAGTTTTTCTATTTGAGAGTTTGCCTATAAATCCAAAATACGTATTAATAATGGACATATTAATTTGATTCATTTACAATCCATTTTAACATTATATTTAAACTTACTTTATCTATAATAGATTTATATCGCGTTGCTTCTTCTTGAAGGAATTGCTTATTTTCTTCTAATGCTTCATCACGGCTTTTTAATTGCTCCAAAAGTTTTTTATTTACTAACTCTAATCGTGAAATATCAATATCTTTAGCATCATTTTGTTCTTCTAATTTGAGTAATGCATTTTGCGCTTCAATAATTTTTGTAGACATTTGTTCAACTTGTGACTTCAACTATGATCAAAACACAATAATTCAAATTAAGATTCCTGCTGACTTATTACAATTTAAATTATAATATCAGAAACAGGAAAACATATGATGAAAAATACATTAAAATAGAAATATTTTTCGATAAAATAAGATTTACAATTAATGGAATAGACTTGTAAATAAACTAAAAAATTTTTTTTCACTCTATTAATCAATAACTTAAAAGAATAATTTAAAATTAAATTGAGGATCTGTTTTTTATTAAGCACAATTCATTTTCTAAATATCTATATAATTATGTAACGATCACCGGAAGAAAAAGAGTTTTCGTATATTTTATAAATCTGTTTCAAGTGCAAACATTATGTTACCAAAAAACATTTCTATTTTAATATATTTTATAAAAATTGTTATCATGTGCTTTCTCACTTTTATATTCTTATAATTCAATATGACCGTAATGAATTAGCAAGAGCTTTAAAAAATTTTTAAAAAAATCTTATTATTTTTATAAATCATAAAGTGCAATATCAGAATGCAAATCGGTGTGAAATTACCTCATTGTTTAATACAGATTGCCACTTAGCGTCATTTGCAAGTCTTGCAATTTCATCTGCAGCTGTTTTCTTTATAAACTCTATTTTTTTCTCAAGAATAATTTTCATCGAATCTAATTGAGATAAATTGTCAAGTTGATGTTGTTCGATTAGTTCTCTATGGGAATCTAGATTTTGCATGAAAGTCTCAACTTGTTTGTGCACTATTTGCGAATTGTTACGCATCGTGTTAAGCAATTCTTTATGTTCGTGTATGTTATTTTCACTACGTTTCATTTCGTCCTGTAATCTTTCCACTTCAGCATTACTTTGAGCCAATCGATCAGTAAGCGCAGCAACAGATGCTTGATTTTCAGTCATAATTACCTCGAATCTAAATATTTAACAAAATTAAAATTTTACTTAACCGCCATATAATCAGTATAAGTACTTTAGAATAAATAATATGGTTATGCAGAATTAGTTGCATAAGCCGTTTTTATTAAATAAATCCAATGAAATTTAATATAACAGGAATGTATCTTTTATGAAAATTTATGAAAAAACTTAATATATTACGCTTGCGACATTATTCCTTTTATTTCTATTCGGATTTCCAATTATTAACACAATATAATGAAGTGCTATATGAACACAGTATACACATATGGACGAAGATATAGAGATCAAAAATATCAATACAAAGTACACATACCGATTATATTATGGCTTAACTAAGATCTAATATTCATAATCTGTTTTTATATTTAAAATCATCTTAAATATAAACTTAAGATATCATAAACCAATTATAGAACAGTATGAGATATTACTTAAAATAGTCTTCAAATAAGAATAAACTATGAAGCTTGACTAAACTATACCAATTTGAATAAAACTAGCATGAAAAAATGTGCATGAAAAAATGTACATGGAAAAATGTAATCAACAAGTAAATTGACTAACCATTGCCAAGAATTTAAAAAATGGTAATATTATTATAGTTTTTGATAATCCTCAACTGTGTAATTAATCGAGTCACTTAATATTTAAATCTTATTGCTTACGTTTTTCTTGCTTAAAATAGATAAAAATATTATAAAATAAAATTTATTGATACTAACCTTTTCTTTTTAGCAACCATTTCAGCCGTTTCTGTTCTAATGTAATCTTTTAAAGTTCTCAATTCTTGTCTCTTTTCTGCCAATTCGCTTTCTGCTTTATCTAACTCAGCTTGTAAACTTTGACTGAAACTGGCCTAAAAATCATAATTAATAACATGATTTAAACATTGTTTTATATTTTATGGACAATGCCACCAATACTAGAATGTCACCTGCGTTTCCACGGATGATCTTAGCTCTTCGAGTATCATGGAGAGCTTGGTGATTTCAGCATCTTTCTGCAGAAGTTTCTCGTCTAATGCGATACGCTCGGTTTCCATATGAGCCAAACATATTTTATATCTTTCGTTAGCAAGTCGCATCTCTTCTTCTACGGTACTTCGAGTTTCTTCAAACATAGTATTGACCTAGATAAAATTTCTATTTTAATAATTGCGAATATTTTTGTCTTGTTACAACAAAAATTCTCTCAAACATCACAATGGACACACATAGAGAAAGATAAGATAACGTTGACAAGAAAAAGTGGAATACATTCTATGGAATAAAAATAAATTTCATAATTATTTATAAAGATACAGATACACCCAAGAATTAACAGAAACTAATTAGTCAGTGATGTTTGGCATTCTACGCACATGTGATCTGCTTACTTTCGCATCGCATTCAACAATCATTTTTTTCACTTGTTCCTTACTCTCATTGCGACACGCTATTAACATATCTCGATTATCAGCCTCCGCTTTTTCAATCATTTCCTGAGCTTGCTTCATTATCCTCACAGTTTCTTCTTCAATTTTTTTAGCAGAAACTTCTTTTACTTCTTTTATTTGTCTATCTTTCATCATATTCAGCTGTATAAAATCAATATTTATATTAATTATTGCGAAGAAAAAATAATTTACATCGAAATACATTTGATATTGTTAAAGCAAAAGATTATACACATTAATTATGGTAAAAATAATAAATTGGTAAAAATCTAATATATATCTAATATAATCTAATATATATCTTAAATAAAGCAAAAAACATTATTTATCCGTACAGTATCCAGTTCTTTTAAATATTCATCTGCTGCATCCCGTAGTATTCTCTCTTGTTTTAATGTTTTTTCAGCTTGCGCTTTCTTCATATCATTCATATCTTTTTTATATTTTTCTATTATACTGACATGCTTCTCATTTGAAAGTTTCAATTCGTTTTGAACTTCTTGTAAATGTTGGGTTACCTAAAGCATAAATAAAATAAATTACAAATCCGTTATCTATTTTACTCACATAATATACATATAAAAAATACATACATCTTTATGACGTTTTTCAAGATTCTTCAAATCTGTCACAAGAGAACAGTTTGTTTCTTCCAATTTATTTACCATTGTTTTCATGTTTGATTCATGTGTTTTATAAATTTCATTTTGCATTAAGAGTTCTTCTTTTTCTTTCACAAAATCATTTTTTAAATGTTCGATTTCTTTCTTGTGTTTATCAGTGAGATCAGAGATTTGTTTCATGTAATTATTAGTAATCTTTTGATATTCCGCTCTGAGTTCATCTAATTCATATTGCAAAGCAGATAATTGAGCTTGAAGTTCCAAAATAACATTCTGTCTCGTTTCCAGTTTAGACTCAAGATGAGATCGTTCTTGTGTTAAATTTGCAACACAAACATCGAGTTGATTTTTTTCTTTTGTAACAATTCTATTTGAATATAAAGTTTGTGTTTCACTATTTTCAATGCATTTACTAATTCTGCAATGTGCCTTTCTAAAGTTTCAACCTGTTAAACAAAATACAATATGAAAAAATATAATTTTGTCAATATAGCAATTAATATTCAATCACAATTAGTATTTTTGAGAAATAAAATAATTTGATTTTACCTTTATTTTGCTCTCTTCTTTCTTGGCAAACATTTCAAGTTCCATTTTTTTTACTCCTTTTGATAATTCATCAGTAACACTTTCAAGTTCTATTTCTACGTTCTTTTGTTCTGGGACGTTCTCTCCTTTCATTTCTTCGGATATTTCTAATAATTGAAAATGAAGTCTCTGCATTTCTGTTTGATGTTTATCATCATAACCATTTATTATGTCCTCGTGTAATTTGGTCTGGAAATTAAACATATTTTAAAAATATATGATATATTAACGACACTAGTCAATAATAAAAATAAAATTTCTATTTATAAATATTATATTAACCATTGCTTCTATATCTTTTACATGTTGCGTTTCTATTTCATCTTGTTTCTTGCGCAGCTCTTCCAATTCGGTTTCTAATTTCCGTATATCCTCTTTCATTTCTTCGATGTGCCTTTCATGTTCGTGTATAGTTTTATCCTTGTTCAAACATTCTACTTGAAGGTCAGCAAGTTGCTGATTGGATGCATATTTCATGTTAGAATTTTTAATTACGGATTTTGAATTGTTTAATTTGGTACGAGATAGTCCCGTTAATTTCGTGACTAACCGCTTCGTAGGTAGTTGAGGCTGCATAGAAATATAATATTTACGTAATTTTAAATAATAATTCAATATATTATTATAATAATAATTGAACATAATTTTTTGTCATTTAGTGTATGTATATACATATATATACATATGTATATTACATGTGTACTACACACACA